TTACCCTCGAGGAGCCCCAGAGTTTGCAAGGGAAGACGCGAAGGGCAACGTTTTACAAGCATGGCGCCAAGTGGTGTTCAACCGTTTCGCGGCCCGCCGCCCGCTTTTTTAGTGGGAATGTAGGGTGGGCGGGAGGAACAAGCTTTGCAACATGCAGGCTCGAAACCAGATGGCTGCGAGACGGAGGGGGAGAGGAGGAAGCGGGCAAGCCACGGTGGGGAACCCTGAAGTTCAAGGACAAGCCCGAACAATATGGGCCCCACAGTTTACTAGGGATGACGAGAGGAACTACTTTTTACAAGCAGGGCGCCAAGTTGGGCCCAGCCGCTTCGCGGCCCGCCGCCCACCCAAAAGTAGCACTGAGAGCCCAACTAGTGCGCTCCCGCGGGGCTCGCCGCGGTTTTCCGAACAGAGAACGGCGATAGATGCGCGCGCGCGCGCTGCGACGACGCCCTCGCAACTAGGGGGCCCGAAGCCGTCAGCCAGCCTGGCCGCCGCACGCGGGCCGAAGGCGGGTTTTGCAACTCCAGCTGGACCGCTGCGGCCAGCGGACGAAACAAACAATGGAGGGGGGGTCGTGCACCATTGCGCTCCTCCCTTGGGTCAGACAGTACACCAGCGTCATGGGGCCGCGGTAGGGGACCCGCTCCTCCTGGGTGCCTTCAGAGTTCCCCGGACTTCCTCAGAGGGGGCCTACTTGGACGTCAGTTGCTGAAGGGATCGGAGGTGAGGCCTCCCTGGAGGACCTCGACAGGAGGGCCCCTGCGGCCGAAGTACTCGGACCGACTACTACCGCGCAGCGATTCGGGGGCGGGGAGACCTCGGCAAGCCAAACCATCTGGTCGCTGTGATTGACGGCTCGCGGGCGCGGCTGTCGATGGGAGATCGCGTTCAAACCCGGGGCACGTCGAGACGGAGAGGTCTACCATGTCTCGACGGTGGTCGACTGTGCGTGCCCCGAGCTGCGCCGTAGGCTGGGAGGCAGCCCCGGAGAGGCCGGTTCTCCTCTGCCGAAGGCAGGTTCGACAGCGGGGTCCCCCTGGCTAGCGCCGCGTGGGGCTCTCTCTCTGCGCTGGTGTGGACGCCAGCATTCGCCCCTCGAGGAGCCCCCTGCCCTGGGTAACCCTCTCCGTGGGCTCCTCTACCCGCTGCTTCTCCTCGTCCGGCGCCATCGGCGGATGCTCTGGCAGTGGATGCAAGCCGGAGGCCCCGCCATTACCCGGGGTGGCTCAGGTCGGAGAACCTTGGGCGCCCGTGCTCTACCCCGTTCAGACGACACCGAAAGCGAGGGACCTAGACGATCAGCTGATCAGCTGGCCCAGGGAGACCAAGGGAACCTCGGGAGCCCCTAGGCCCTTGGAAACACCAGAAATCCCCCTGAGCACCTAGGAAACCTTAGGAATTCCAGAACCTTAGAAAAACCAGGTAATCCCAAGGTATAAGTGGTGGAGGCGCACAAGCCTATGACTGGATCATACAATCGTATACGGTGAACGTGGCTTCGTCTAACACGAGCCAGCTGAATTCACGACCGTCGATCACAATAAGACCAAATCCATGCAATCGGGGTAAGCTCTCTGGCACCAGACGCTGCAAGAGGGTGGGGTGGAGATTGTCCTCTGTAATGTTGTGGTAGAGTTTTCCCTTTTGGATTTGGAGCGAGTTTTAGAATCCGAGTATCGTCCAATTTGGAAACGTCTCTGAGGGCTCCACTGCAGCGGTGCTCCGCCTGGACCACCTGCCCTCCGTGCGGTCCGATAAATCGCATCGAAAATAATATAGGTAATCTGATTTCCATCGTACGTCTTGTTTCGTCCAAGGCACTCATGAAGCATATCTCTTGTATTGGAAGCATCCCAGATTCGATCGTGATCGCTCAACTGCCATGCGGACGAGGAGGCCATGATGCGCAGTGCAATGGATAAATCCAAAACCATGCGAATGCTGAGGTTGATTTAAGCCCAGAGGCTGGAAGGTGGAAGCCTGAAGGTGGTAATATGGAAGCCCGAAGGCGGGGATATGGAAGCCCAAAGGCGAACGCTGAATGCCGAAGGTGGTGAAAATTGACTACCCGAAGGCGCTTCAGAAAAGATGTTACGGTCTTTCCTGTGTGACCTCCTGCATGGTACGACTGGGAGACCGAGCGCGATATAGGTGATCACAGCGATGACGGCGACGACGATGATGACGGCAATGATGGCGATACCAGCGTACGCACCCCCTATGGTGTCGAGAATACGCCACGCCTGCTATACCTTGGACGACCGTCACGGATAGCAACCGCCTTCAGAGACAACCTCCTGCGCACCCCTCTGGTGTCGATAGCGGCCGCGTTCAGGGACCACCCCCTGCGCACCCCCTAGGGTGTCGAGAATCTGTCACGCCTGCCATGCTCTGACGACCGTCACGGATGGCGGCCGCCCTCAGAACCCCCCTCCCCTGCGTAACCCCCATGGTGTTGAGAATATGCTCCGCCAACTATGCCCTGGACGACCGTCACGGATAGCGAACGCCGTCTGAGACCACCCCCTGCGCACCCCTCGATGGTGTCGAGAATCTGCCACGCCTGCTATCCCCTGGACGACCGTCACAGATAACGGCCGCCCCCTGCGCACCCCTCATGGCGCCGAGAATACGCCGCACCTGCTATGCCCTGGACGACCGTCACGGAGAGCGACCACCCTCAGAGACCACCCCCTGCGCACCCCCTCTGGTTTTGATAGCGGCCGCGCTCAGGGACCACCCCCTGCGCACCCCCTCTGATGGCGAGAATATGTCACGCCTGCTATGCCCTGGACGACCGTCACGGATAGCAGCCAGGCCACCCCCTGCGCAACCCCTATAGTGTCGAACATATGCCACGCTTGCTATGCCATGGACGACCGTCACGGATAGCAACCGCCCTCAGAGACCACCCCCTGCGCACCCCCTCTGCTGTCGAGAAGGTGCCCGGATAGCGGCCGCCTTCAGAGACCACCCCCTGCGATGGTTTCGAGAAAGTGCCACGCCTGCTAGGCCGTGGACGACCGTCGCGGAGAGCGGCCGCGCTCAGAGACCCCCCCCGCGCCACTTCCCTGGTGTCGAGAACGTACAACGCCTGCTATGCCCTGGACGACCGTTGCGGAGAGCAACCGCCGCCCTGCGCACCCCTCCATGGTGTCGGGAATCTGCCACGCCTGCTAGGCCATACGACATTGGCGCGTACAGAGACCGCGGCGACGGACCACCCCGCGCGAATCTCCTCTGGTGTCGAGAAAGTGGCCCGCCTGCTAGGCCGTGCAATATTGGCGGGTACAGAGACCGCGCACCCCCTCTGCTGTCGAGGAGGTGCCACGCCTGCTTGGCTCTGCGACATTGGCGCGTATAGAGACCGCGGCGACGGACCGCCCCCTGCGAATCTCCACTGGTGTCGAGAAAGTGCAACGCCTGTGAGGCCCTGCGACATTGGCGCGAATAGGGACCGCGCTGAGGGATCACTCCCTGCGCAACCCCTCTGGTGTCGAGGAAGTGCAACGCCTGTTAGGTGCTGCGACACCGGCGCGTATAGAGGCCGCGGTGGGAGACCACTCCCTGTTCACCCCCACTGGTGTCGAGGAAGTGCCACGCCTGCTAGGCCCTGCGACATCGGCGCGTATAGAGACCGCGGTGAGGGACCACTGCGCGCCCCCTCCCGTGTCGAGAATCTGACATGCCTGCTGGGCCCTTCGGCATTGGCGCGTATGGAGACCGCGGTGATGACCCCCCCTGCGCACTCCCTCTGGTGTCGAGAAAGTGCCACGCCTGTAAGACCTGGACGACCGTCCCGGGGAGCGGCCGCGCTCAAAGACCACCCCCTGCGCACCCCCTGTGGTGTCGAGAATATGACATGCCTGCTAGGCCCTGCGACATTGGCGCGTAGAGACCGCGGTGAAAAAAACACTCCCCGCGCACCCCCTCTGGTGTCGAGAAAGTGCCCCGCCTGCTAAGCCCTGCGACATTGGCGCGTGTAGAGACCAGGGTGGGGGACCACCCCCTGCGCACCCAGAGGGACGCCTGCTAGGCCCTGCGACATTGGCGCGTATAGAGACCGCGATGAGGGACCACCCACCGCGCACCCCCTCTGGTGTCGAGAAGGTGCCTCGCCTGCCAGGCCCTGCGGCATTAGCGCGTATAGAGACCGCGGTGAGGGACCACCCCTTGCGCACCCCTGATGTCGAGAACATGCCACGCCTGCCAGGCCCTGCGACATTGGCGCGTATAAAAAGCGCGGTGAGGGACCACCCCCTGCGCACCCCCTCTGGTGTCGAGAAAGCGCACATGACCCCCCCCCGCCTGCGCACTCACTGCTGTGTGAAGAGTATGCCACGCCTACCACACTTTCCGAGACTGGCACGGCTTTACCTGTATCGATATATGTTGTGTGTGGCATGGGTTGTGAGGCTTTGCGATCCCGAAGCAGATGCGTGTATGTATGATGTTTGGTGTGTATGTGTGCTGTGTGTATGTGTGTTGTATGTGTGCTGTATGTGTGCTGTGTGTATGTGTGTGCTGCGCAAGTGCAGGTGAGAAGGGGAGGGAGAAAGGGGGAGGTGAGGTGTGTGAGCTTCGCGGGTGGGACGCGGCAGGGAAGAAAACCATAACCCCACGAAACATGTGAGGAAACACATCATGAGTGGCAGCCGTAAGCACACCCAGATGAGCAGGCAGCCTTCGAGTTATGTATTCTTCTTCTTTAAATGTAACTCGAGGGCTCGAACAGCCGTCGAGCTATATCAAAAGAAGGTACGCCTTCAGTAGTCACCCACCCCATGCGACTACGCCCGACGGCCTCTTGCAACCACCACCCCCACACGCGCGCCGAAACCACCCCCAACGTGATCCAACTCCCCCACGCCACGCACTGGACAGCCCGCTGCTCCTCTCGTGCCGCCCAACGCGATCCAAAGCCCCCATGCCAATCAAACCACCCAGGGCAATTGTGAAGGGCGAGGGGGAGGAGGATCTGACTGCCCCCCCCCCACCAAGGGCAAGAGCTCGAGGCCCGCGCCCTCCAGGCTCCACGTTGCAGCGCCACCGAAGGCCCCCAGCTGGCGCTCTGGAGCTTGCCGCCGCCCAGTGCGCCTGGGCCGCGCCAAGCACTGTGGCGGTGACCTCCTCCTCCTCCTCGGTCTCCTCGTCCTCCTCGCCGGCCTTCTTGTCATCCCCATCCTCGTTGTCGCCCCTCTCGCCCAGGTCCTCGACCTCACCCTTCTCCACCTCCTCCACGACCTGCTCCTCCTCCTCGGCCTTCTCCTCCTCCTCTATGCACACCTCCCGAATCTAGTTTGACTATAATTTGCTGACTCTGTCTAGTCTTCGGACTCTTCGAAGAACGCTGCGCGTGGAGGCCCACTGTGTGCTGTCGCCTGACCAAGGAGCTCACACATGGGATAATATAACCAAAGTCACCATGCGCTGGTACGCGTGCGAACTGCAGCCTTGCTGCTCGTCTCGCGCGACAGCGAGGCCAAAGTGCAGTGATGGTCGGCGCCAGCGGTTTTCAATTCGCCAACGACGTAAGCGTCAGGACGTAAAGAAAGATCGCTAAGTTATCAAGACCCACCACCGATCTTGTAGGAATGGAACAAGGGTCCCAAGAAATTAGCTACCACTGTCACGTAGGATTCTCTTCTCGCCACGCTACTTGAAAATTCGTTGGACTACCTCTGCACACAGACGGTGATGGAAGAAGAAAACATGATGAAAATGAGCAAAGAGGAAACTGGCGAGTCGAAAGACTGCACAATGTGCGAAATGGACTTTACTCGTACGCCGAATGCAATCGCCTCTTTCAGCTGAGCGATGTTTGCATGGAGATTCGCCAGGACGCGCGCGACAAAGGCAAGGGCAAACATTACAGTATTCCGAGTGATATCTCGGAATGCTACGCCAATGTTGGCCCAGGGCAGTTGCCCTCAAAGCGGGCGAATCCTCATATCCACCCCGCACTCTTTTGTCCCAACCAAATCTGAACAATGCGAAGGACAAGGATTCCGAGCGCATCAACCAAATCACAAGACAGCTCGCCGCTTGGGCCCCACCGCCAGCCCAAACGGCGAGCATAACTCGGGCGTAGCCCCGCACGCACTCGACTGCTCTCACGTCGTCCTCGTACTACTCGTATTCCTCCCCATCCTCCTCCCCATCCTGATCGTTGTCGTCGTCCTCCTCCTTCTCGTATTCCTCATCCCTCATCCTCCTCGTCTTCCTCGTCTTCCTCCTGCGCCAGCTCCTCCTCGTCGTCCTCGTCTAGGACATCGTCCTCATTTGTCCTCTTCCTCCTTCTGCTCATCCTGCTTCTCCTGGCACCTCGGTCCTCGACGCCCTCGCTGGGCCGCTTGCGGTTTTCTCTGGGGTCGGCGACAGAAGACATAGATTGCGCCCTAGGTTGCGCCATGGGTTGCGCCATCGGTTGCGCCCCAGTTGCAACATAGGTTGCGCCCTCGGCGGCCAAGAATAAAACAAGATCCTATCGGTTGCGCCATAGGTTGCGCCCTCGGCGGCTGAGACTAAACCGTCTCCGATCGGTTGCGCCATCGGTTGCGCCCTCGGCGGCCGAGAATAAAACCGTCTCCCATCGGTTGCGCCATAGGTTGCGCTCTCGGCGGCCGAGAATAAAACAGTCTCCGATCGGTTGCGCCATCGGTTGCGCCCTCGGCGGCCGAGAATAAAACCGTCTCCTACCGGTTGCGCCATAGGTTGCGCCCTCGGCGGCCGAGAACAACACCGTCTCATATCGGTTGCGCCATAGGTTGCGCCCTTGGTGGTCGAGCGTAAAAACGGCGCGCAAGGGTTGGACCAGTCAATGCAGTTCAGTTCAGTTCGGTTCATGTCAGTTCAGCTCGAGGAGAACAAATTCAGGCTACGCCCGGAATTATGAAACATCTGCCTGAGTGCACGAGAGTAAACGTCCACATCTGTCCGCTCAGGAGAAGTAGGCGCGCTGGTTCGACACCTCTTTCTGCTCGTGCGAAAACCAAAGGGGCGAGGGCGGATACGGTAGAAGAGAATGCTATGGAAGGAGCAGCTGTCACGAAATTCAATCAACTTCTGGAAGCAGCGAATCCACGGACCCCCGCTTGCTGGAGGTGGGAAGGCGTGTGAGAGGTTTGGCGTCCCCCTTCCCCACCTCCCCATCCGCAGGGGCCCCAACTCCCGCTTGAGCGCCCCCCCAGTGGGAGGTCGAGCTGCTCAGGGCCCTCAGAGCCTCCAGATCCACCCACGGACGCCCCCAGTATGCCATCCAAGGCGGCTCCAAAGGGCTCCAACACGCCCAACAGTACGAATAATCCAAGGCCCTAAGAGACCTCAAGAAGACAGAAAGAGGTCCCATAGGAAAGCACAAACACCCCACACCATCGAAACCGATCTGGCGTTTCAGTGGTGTTTGCTATATCGACTCATCGCATCAAGGCGCCTCCGAGAGGATTCGCGCATCTTCCAGAAGACGCCCAAATAGCACATCATGCGACCATAGTGCCCCAACATCGCCCAAAATGACCCCAGAGGCTCCCGACCGACCACCAAGACTACCTCAAGACCACCCAACGCGGCCATAAGACCCTCCACAACGAACCCAAGACCCTGAATGGACGGCAAGATGGCCCCAAGGGGCTCGAAGGGAGCCTCAAGAAAGGCCTAGAGGGCCTCGCAAACTCCATGCAAGGCCCCGCGAAAGCAGCAAGACAAGCCCAAATATTCGGTCACACGTTGTCAATGCCCAGATCACCCTCCCGACGCTGATCAACTGAGAGATTGGCGTGCTGATTCATCCGAGGGACCGCCGTGATTCCCGGATTGCGGGCTCACTCATTGCTCTCCCTTGCCGCTGACAATACCATTATGGAATCTCAACGTTGTCCATTCGAGTCGCATGGTCTCACCGCCCCTCACCTCCATTGCTTGAATACGCTGGTCCTCCTCATCATCATCAGCAGCATCATCATTAACATCATCATCATATCCCCATCGCCCTCCTTGGCCTCCACACCTGCTCACATCTTGTTGGAACCCTCAACCAAGTATCAATATACCACAAAGTGCCCCTTGAACATGTACTCAAGAATTCCCAAACAGAGGGCCCAACATGAAGGGCATGAGAGCAAAGACTTCCTAACATCCTGCCCGCTTGCCCGGCTTGCCCCCGACTGCCCCTCCTGGGCAGACCATTGCTCGTCGTCGTCCTGGTCCTCATGCTCCACCGTACCCAGGCCAACCGTTACACCCGCCCTGTCTACCTGTTGGGGGTCGGCGGGATAGCACGAGCCTCTTTGCAGAAACTCATCGGGGAGTCTGCCACCGTGCATTCAGCACTAAGTGGAGTGCCCCGAGGCTCACCAGTTGTCAATGCTAAAAGGCAAACCCTGGTTTCCCGGTCACTCCTAGGAATCCACTGGGATTCCAGAGGGGGTAGCTCGTGAGCTGCCTGGACGCTGAGCTGGCCCGAACCGCTCCCAGAGCCCCAACGAGGGCCCCAGGAGCTTCCCCAGACAATGCACAAGCGCCCCGGGTGGGCCCAATGGCGCCCCAAGACGCCTAGCCTCACGATGTCCCGAGGGCCCCACAAGACGCTCCAAGAAGGCACCGAGAGACTCCCCGACACAGCCCCAAGAGGCATAATAAATGAATCCCCATCTGGTTTTATATAAATGTTAGCGCTCTCGCCTTGCATGCAAGGCTTCCGACGCTCGAAAGACGGCCCAAGAGGACATTAGGAACGCCCAAAGACGGCCCAAGATGCACCCAAGAAGGGCCCAAGATGGCCCAAGAGAGCCCCAAGATGGCGCAAGAGGTCCCCAAGGCGGCCCAAGAGGGCCCCCAAAGAGGGCAACACTAATCGAATGTTCGAGCCCTGCGCCCAAATATTACCCCCGGCAGACCGCCAGCAGGCCCCCAAGAGGCCTCCGAGACGCCCCAGGAGGCCCCAAGGAGCCCCCAAACACGTCAAAACTGCATCCAATAAGCTTCAGAGATGCCTCCCAATAGATCTCAGCAGGCATCCAAGAAGCCTCTGACCTACACCCCAGGCACGGTGGCGGAATGGGCTGAAGGCCACTACCTGCCTGTATAATCTCGCCAGCCCTTTAGAGCGTGAGTGGTCTAGGAAGTTTCCTCTTCCAAACCCACTTCTTCCTCCTCGAGGAGTGGTTGTTACTGTCCCACATGAACAAACAACCCCCTCCCCAAGGCGATCGGCAGCCAACCAGGACCAATGAGGGCCCCCCCCCACCACTATCCCTTGTAAACAACAGTACGACATGCACTTTGCCTCCAAATCTGGAGCATGCGCGGACGCCCCGCGACCAGTTGGCGCTTGTTTTCGACAGAGATGGCGGGGGTGCTGCCATATTGCTTGCTGCTGTGCGCAGGCCGACCATCCCTGTCAAACAACCATACAACATACAGTTTGCCTCCAACTTTGGAGAACGCGCAGGCGCCCCGCGACCACTTTGCATGGGTCTTTGAAAAGGGGTGGCGGGGTGCACGAGCCCTTTATCATGTGTTGAATGGGATGGTGTGGCGACACGCTGTGTCCAGCGAGCGTGCGCTCCTGCTTCTACAGCTGCGCGTTGCTGGCGTCATCCCCTTTGTACTCTTCCAGGGGGACGATGCTTTCTCTTGACTTGCATGTATTCCACGAAGCATCAACATGTCTAAGTTTGACAATCGGTGCCGCTGCTCTGCCCTCCCAGGAGCCGACCTTCTCACATAATGCTCGGAACTTCGCTTTAGGGGGCTCAAGAAACCGACACGTTGGGGCCGGGGCCCTAGGCACTTGGGGTCCCTATTGGCTCCCCCGTAGCGAGCGCTCCTGGCGCGGCCGGAACACGTGGCACAGTTGGCGCACGTGGAGCACGTGCGGCTCCTGGCATGCTTCGGCCTCCAAGGTGCCTGGTGCACCTGGAACCCGTGGCGCGCATAGCATGTGTGGCGCTCCGAAACGATATGCTGACACTCGGGTGTTACATATGTGTTGGGACGGAGGGTGGGAGTGAGCCAGACGGCTTGCTATCTGGGAGGGTAGCTTGACCCCTCCCCGGGATACCCCCTTTCCCTGGACCTGGAGGGGGCGCTCGGCGGCG